TTCCACGGCCCCATTACCGCATACCAGGAAATCTAGCGCTAATTTTTTGCGTCGTATATGCAACGGCCCCCGATGGGCAGTAGCGCAGCATGGAGGACCGTAGGTGGGGTGGGGTCGTTTATTTGTTGGTCGAACCAGGTCGGTCACATCTGTGGATCCAGAACCCAAGTCTTCTTTGGCGGCGAACAATCGTGATGGCAAGCAGGACAGGCGACAGCGGGCAGCCCTGACGAATGCCCGCCTTCTGTTCCCGCCGGTCGGAACCGTCTGTCGCGCACTGCGAACCACTCCGTCGAACAGGTAGAACGAAAATGAAAAACAGGAAACTCGAGAATCAACGCATGTCTCCAAAGTCCGCCGCCAAGAGCACGCATCCTCCCACTGCTAGCCAGGCCCGGGACAATAGCCCTGGGCCCGCGCAGCGAATCAAATGCACTGAAAGATTACAACAACTTCAATGATAGACGGAGGCTCAATTCCGTGATGGGGCTCTCGCCTTAGCGCTGCGCCCATTCGTCAAAGGAGAGGGAGGGGGGGGCGTTTTCAGAATGGGGCCCTCGCATCGGCACCGCTCAAATCTACCCCAAGAGTTTGCAACAGACAGATGGAAGAAGAACGGTTCCTGCTCAGAGCGGGGCTTCCATACAAAACATGCTCGAGTTCCATAGCCACATACTTTCACATATGCAACAGCTGCACGGATGGAGGGCGGTTCTCTTTGAAAGTGGCGATCTCGTCTGAGACTTCCTCGAAGTCCATGCCCACAAGTGTTAAAACATGTATCAAATACACAGAAGGGGGTCCTCTTTTCCAAAACGGGGATATCGATCCTCCTCGAGCTTCTCCTCCTCCCTCTCCTCCACCTCCTCCTCCTCCTCCTCCTCCTCATCTTCCTCCTCACCCTGCTGCTCCTCATCCTCATCCTCCTCATACTCCTCCTCCTCCTCGTCCTCCTCCTCCTCCTCCTCCTCCTCATCCTCCTGCTCCTCCTCCTCCTAGTCTTCCTCCCCCTCCTCGTCCTCCCCCTCTTCCTCATCCTCCTCCTCATCATCGGCATCATCAGCATCATCAGCATCATCATCCTCATCATCATCATCATCATCATCATCATCAGCAGCAGCAGCAACATCATCATCAGCATTATCATCATTATCATCAGCATCAGCATCAGCATCATCGTCATCATCAGAATCAGCACCATCAGCAGCATTATCGTCATCATAATCACCAGCAGCAGCATCATCAGCATGAAAATCAGCATCAGCAGCAGCATCATCATCATCCTCATCATCAGCAGTATCAGCATCAGCAGCATCGTTATCAGAAGCAGCAGTATCGCCAGCATCATCATCATCATCATCATCATCATCATCATCATCATGAGCAGTATCAACAACAACATCATCATCATCATCATCATCAGCATCATCATCATCATCATCATCATCATCATCAGCAGCAGCATCATCATCAGCAGCAGCAGCAACAGCAGCACCGACAACATCATCATCATCATCATCATCATCATCATCATCATCATCATCATCATCATCCTCATCCTCATCATCATCATCATCATCATCATCAGATTCATCATCAGATTCATCATCATCATCATCAGCAGCAGCAGCAACAGCATCATCGTCATCGTCATCAGCATGATCATCATCAGCAGCAGCATCCGATCATCGTCATCATCGTCGTCGTCGACATCATCGTCGTCATCATCAGCAGCATCAACATCATCAACACCATGGTCAGCATCTTCATCATATCATAATCAGCAAAATCATCATCAACATCATCATCAGAAGCAGTATCATCATCGTCATCAGCATCATCATCGTCATCGTCAGCATTAGCATCGTCATCATCAGCAACATCATCCTCAGCATCCTCATCAGCAGCAGCATAATCCTGACAAGAATCATAATCATCATCATCAGCAGCCGCATCATCATCGTTATCATTGTTATCATCATCATCATCATCATCAGCATCATCATCATCATCATCATCATTATCATCATCATCATCATCATCATCATCATCATCATCATCATCATCATCATCATCATCATCATCATCATCATCATCATCGGTATCAGCATCATCAGCATCAGCAGCAACATCATCATCACCATCATCATCAATCATGGTCATCAGCATCATCATTATCATCATCAGAAGTATCATCGTCAGCAGCAGCATCTCCATCACCATCAACACAATCATGATCATCACCATCACCATAACCATCACCATCATCCCATCTCTTCACCATCATCCCCTCTCTTCCTCCTACCCCTCCTCTCCCCTCCCTCCTACTCCCCAGCTCATCCTCCTCCTCCTCCACCTCCTCCTCCTCACCCTCCTCCTCCTCCTCCTCCTCCTCCTCCTCCTCCTCCTCCTCCTCCTCCTCCTCATACCCCTACTCCTCCTCCCCTTTCTCCTCTTCCCCCTCCTCCTGCTATCCCTCCCCTTGATCTAACACTGCTACACGATGCATCCTCTCCGTGTCCCCAGAAAACCCTGGCCCTTTCCCAGCGCCGGCTTCTCAACCCAAGTCGTTTCTGTTGATGACCCCAGGGCACGAAACTGGCCCGCAAAAACCAATGATCCTGTGGGTACCGAATGGGTACCGTAATTGTGAATATCTGCTTCGGTGAAGCTCCCTATGGGGCCACGAAGCGCTGCACTGGGCGGGGGGGAACGCTGTACTGTGTGAGTGGTGTGCCGAATTGGGTTTCCGGGACGCAAGCGGACGGTCCCACTGAGGGCTTCGGTGGAGCTCCCTATGGGGCCACGAAACGCTCTACTGAGTGAGTGAAAATGCCAAATTGGGTTACCGGGACGCATGCGGACGGTCCGACTGGGGGCTTCGGTGAAGCCCCCTATGGGGCCACGAAACGCTGCACTGCGCGGGTGAAAATGCCAAATTACATTTCCCGGACGCATACGGACGGTGGCACTGGGGCCTCGGGTGGAGCCCCCTATGGGGCCACGAAACGCTGCACTGGGTGGGTGGAAATGCCAAATTGTGCTTCTGGGACGCATACGGACGGGGGCACTGGGGCCTTCGGTGGGGCTCCCTATGGGGCCACGAAACGCTGTTCTGGGTGGGTGAAACGCAGGAAGAGAGGGGGGAGAGCCACGAAACGCTGTACTGGGTGTGCGGGACGCATGCGGACGGTAGCACTGGGACCTTCGGTGGAGCTCCCTATGGGGCCACGAAACGCTGCACTGGGTATGCGGGACGCATGCGGACGGTAGCACTGGGACCTTCGGTAGGGCTCCCTATGGGGCCACGAAACGCTGTACTGGGTGGGTGAAACGCAGGGAGGAGGGGGAGGAGGGCCACGAAACGCTGTACTGGGTGTGCGGGACGCATGCGGACGGTAACACTGGGACCTTCGGTGGAGCTCCCTATGGGGCCACGAAACGCTGTACTGGGCATCCGGGACGCATGCGGACGGCAGCACGGGGACCTTCGGTGGGGCTCCCTATGGGGCCACGGAACGCTGTACTGGGTGTGCGGGACGCATGCGGACGGTAGGGAGGAGGGGGAGGAGGAGGAGGAGGAGGAGGAGCAGGAGGAGGAGGAGGAGGAGGAGGAGGAGGAGGAACGCGGGGACCGTCTCTTCAAAACGAGGACTCAACACCACAGGATGGTTGGGAAAAACAGCGAGAAAACCTCCGCCGCGACGTTTCGCTCAAGGCGCTGAATGGCCAGGACTTACTCGGGCCTCACAAAGGGACTCTCTCGGGTTGGGTCGATCCGCTCCTGCTCGCCCCGAGTGGTGTCGTGCCGAAACTGCAACTGTGGAAACTTCAACCCTCCCAGGCCTTCGGCAGGGGGGGCCACATCAGCATGCCAAAGCCCCAGCACCCAGCACCTGGTCGGAGTGGCCGCCTCCACTCTAGAGGCCTCCCGGATGGGGTCCGAATAGATGGGGTCGGAGGATCGCACCGCATCGACGATGCATCGGCGATGCGATGCGTCCGCGCCGTCGGCGTGGATAAAATCGGGCTCCACATCGAGCTGCATCGCCGATGCATCGGCGATGCAGCGCGATTTTCCGACACCCTCTACTCGGACCCTGGAATGCCTAGACACACGAAGCAAGGTCTGGAGGATGACGACGGCGACGACGACGACGATGACGACGACGAGGAGACTGCTACCCTATGGCACCACCCCCTAATGCTCACTCTCTTATCCATCCTCCTCCTCCTCCTCCTCCTCCTTAACCTCCTCCTCCTCCACCTCCCCCTACTCTTCCTACTCCTCCTCTTATCCCTCCTCCTCCTCCTCCTCCCCCTCCTCCCCCTCCTCCATCCTCCTCCTCCTCCCCCTCCCCCTCCTCCTCC